CAAAATATATATTGTGTGTTGGAGTGTTCCAGACGCTACAGCAGAGTATAAAATTATTCTGTAGTTCAGCAAGTTTTTCTTCTTTTGTTTGCCTAGACATACTATTTGTCTGGAGCAATTATTTATTTTAAAGGGGTCATGTTATAAAGAATCATATTTCCTTCCTTTTGAGTTCTTTATATACTTTGAAAACATACTGAATTGTTTGAACTTTTGAATTTGATCCCCAGTCCAAAAGGATAATTTATTGGAACTAAGGTGCAAAACGACTCATTCAGAACTTCTGCAACTATCTGATATAGTGCAACTATCTGATAGATATTAGATATATTTCAGCCTCAATTGTTTTATGAATCTCTCACAGTGTGACACACTTGTAATTGATGTATGGGGCAGTTAAAAGTAGGCTGTGCCTATGTAAAATGAGCACCGATTTAGAAGATTTTAATTCCAAGAACCTAGGAAAGAGAGAAAAATGGTGAGAGTTTTAGCTTAAAACTTGTAGGTATCACAGTTTAATGACATTTGAACTGTTTTAATGTCCATTAAATAAACAAACTGAAACTTATTTTATAAAATGTATCTACAATGATGTTTTTATGTAACAACTTGATAAGACTGTTGAGATGGATACATTCAAACTTGTGCCTCTGTCAACATAGTCTGATTTTTATGACAAACATAACATTTTCAAAACATAACTCTATGTCTGAAATCTGAAGTGCAAATACATTACAGACAAACAAAGTATGACAAACTCAATGACAAACTCAATAGCAGTAATAACCAGGATGTCAGGTGAAGTGGAATGAGACTCTGGTCTCTAGGAATTTACTTGCTTACTTGATTAAAATATACTGAAACTCTTTGCATCTTATATAAATTCTGTAATCTCTAGAATGTGCTTTAGCATTTTAATGCTTTACAGATCTGGTGAAACTTCTCCAGTAAATATTATACTGCCAAGTTAAGAAAAAGATCAGCCTGAAGAAACGAATGGAGCTTTCAGTTAACAGAGGATAAATTGTCCTGTAATATTCAATATCTTCACAAGCACAAAATGTAGCACAAACACAGTATTTTGGAAAACTCTTATGCTATGCATGCCCCATTGAAAAACACAGTTATGCAGTTATGCAGAACCATACAGGTACACTAACACTTACCCTGTCAGTTCCTCACTATGCATTTGCAGAAATCTTATAATAGTAGCCTGTCTTTGAGCTATGTGACATCTTGTGTAAACCTCTTCCTTGAGCTCCCTGTATATGTTCACAGCACATTCATTTGCCTGGGGCAGCCCTTCATCATTTAACTGCTCAAACACTGCCTGAGGCAACTCCCTGTTTATTCCATCATGTCAAAGATTTTAGACTGAAGGTAGCAACAACGATGTTAATATATCACCATATCTCATGCCTGTATGACAGCCTGTGCCAACCCAAACAACAGAGAGAAGACTCTTTATCTATATAAAGTCACGGTCCTATCTGGAATCATAGAGGTCTGCTGCTGTCTTGTATGTTACATTGTTGATTTCCTCTGAACATTTCATCAGCACAGACCCAAGGAATGTGATAGATGACTATTCCCTACCTTTAGAGTTAAAATGACTAGTTAATGATTAATTTTTTTTAACTTGCTGCAAATACACAAATAAAAATAGAAAACAATATTTATAATTAAAAAATATAACCAAATATTATTTTGCCTCAGTGACTTTTGTTTGTTAAGTGGTCTTGGACTTCATACTATATCCACATATGCTGATTTAGTTGTTTGAGTATTGGAAATTAACTATTTAAACATTGATTGCTCAGATTGCAAGACTGGGCTGGTCATGTGATCTCAAAATGCCTACCCCTTATGTAAAACAAAACCGCTTTTTAGACCATTGTGATGACTGGAATCTTGATCTCGTGTGTGTAGACTACATCATTTTAATAATTTCATATTTTTCTGCAACTCCAGAGACAGGTCCCAACAAGATGACTTTTTTTTCCCATAAAGAATGATAGTCAATGCATCTAATTTTTAATGCAGATTAATAATAATAATAATAAAAAAAACATTCTGAGCTATTATCATTCAAGTAATTGTCAACCAGTATATTTTAGTTGTGGATGCTGCGTGTGCATTTTATGGAGTAGACAAGTCACAATTGGCAACATAAGACTCCCTTTCTTTCCTTCTCCACACTGTATTTCTTCGTCACACAGTATTTTTTTATCTTTTCATCAATTCTTTCATAAATCCATCTAACCCTTTCACTCTCCTTGTCCTGTTCTGAGCACATTGAACAGGTCAAACTGTCAGCAATGCCACAAGAACCACAGGCTCATTAGAGAAAACACCATGACTGAAGGGTCTGACTGAAAGTACTATTACGGCAACATAGAAAAACACACAAAAAAATTTAATTTTCATATTTAATCTCTAGATAGCATCAAAACATGAAATTCTTCACATTTCAAGAATTACAGTGTGCGTATATGTCATAGCGATAAAGGGACAGTAAGACTGCATTTAGGGGGTGTAAATAAGGATGGTCTGCTTATCTTGGAAACCTGTTTGAAACCAGTCATTATTTTTGTTTTTCACTTTCATGGCGCTAATGGAAATTACACACTTCGGCTTTAAGTAAATATTATCACTTCTTCAACATCTGGAGTTCACTGCAGGTGTTTCTTGTCTTGCAATAAAACTGTAGTGTGGTGTAAAACCTTATTCTTTTATTCCCTCGCTGTCTTTTGACTAGGCAGTTAGTGAAGTTCTCAGGTGCTGCTGACTCACTGCATGTATTTTGGTCATCTTCAATAGTGGGAAATCCTTTGCTTCTTATCAGATATGTGAACAATAAACTCTGACTGTGCTGGGAGATTCACATGCTCAAGAGAGCTGTAAGATGTCTACAGGATACCTCAGAGCACAAGTACCATCTAAGAGCTTCCAAAATATACACAAACACTTCAATCTACTGATAAGGACTCCAAATAAACAATTTAATCGAAGTACTCGAAGGAAAAAAAACTTGCAATGAGGTTTCATGTTTGTGGCCTATTGGAAACAGATGACCAGAGTTGCATCAAAGCCAAAATCAGAGTCCCTGTCTCAGCTGTCTCAAACATTATGGTTTTAACTTCATTTACAGCACATTGGGCATAATCATAAATGAGACACAGCAATTCTTCATAGACAGTTGCATTTGCTGCACTCTGCAAAAAGTGTACTGCATGCTCCCACAGATGGCTGACAAAATGGTTCAAAATCATATGGTTCAAGTATTAGATACAGACTGATAGTATTTATTTCAAGAATATACTAAAATGGGACACACTGTTAATACCGGTAGTATGAATTTACTTAATTTTACTGAAAATTGCTTTGTCAGATATGATTCCCTCTTCAAAAAATAGACAGGCAGCATTTATATAAACTAATATATAAACTTTATTTTAATATTATTACTTTTTTATATATTTTTGTCAATTTTTTCTTTGCCATAGATCTCCTTTTCATTTTGATAACACCTTTATCAATGTATATTATTGTATTTAGTGCTTTTTCTACTGTAATCTTTTCATTTTTTTATTTTCCGAACATTTTGTTTTCAAAGTGATGCCTCAAAGCACTTTTTAACTTTTCTTACTTTACTTTTTTTTTTTTTTTTTTTGAAGAACACCAATAATTTTGCTTCAGATGGCAAAAGAAACCTTGAAGCTAATAATCTTAATCATTCCAAGATTCATGGTTTCAGTTATTTATTTACATACTGAAGTAACGAGCTACACACAGAATTTGCACGTCTTCAAAATAAAAACTGTAAAATAAATATACAATAAAATACATTAAACAAACAATCTTTTCAGGGGCAAACCTTTTAATCATTTAAAAATGCGTATGAGAACTGTGTAGTGACTATGCAGTCACAAATGGAATTCCTGGACCGTCTGCGTTTAGTTTTCACATATGTGACCCTGGACCACAAAACCAGTCATAAGGGTCAATTTTTCGAAATTGAGCTTTATACATCATCTGAAAGCTGAATAAATAAGCTTTCCATTGATGTATGGTTTGTTAGGATAGGATATTTGGCTGAGATACAACTATTTGAAAATCTTGAATCTGAGGGTGCAAAAAAATAATGAATTTTTTTGTTGTTGAGAAAATCACCTTTAAAGTTGTCCAAATGCAGTTTTTAGCAATACATATTACTAATCAAAAATTAAGTTTTAATATATTTACAGTAGGAAATTTACAAAATATATTCATGGAACATGATCTTTACTTAATATCCTAATGATTTTTGGCATAAAAGAAAAATCAATAATTTTGACCATACAATGTTGTTTTGTCTATTGCTAAAAATATACCCCAGCGACTTAAGACTGGTTTTGTGGTCCAGGGTCACATATGTTCCTCCAGTTATCGGTCATACAATCACTGAAAATACTGAAACGACAAGCGGCGCTTAATATAACGTTAATGGATTAAATATATATCCAACTGTACTGGTGTGTGTCTGAAAACTGCACTTAAGAATAAATGAATCAAGAGGCAAAATAACCACAGAAGATGATCATGTCAAGTTATATAAACTGGAAATGACAAACTGTAACATACAAAAATCTTTTCAGCACATGAGAGAACGTACCGTGATAACAAAACAAGAAGCAACATTATGATTTACATATAGGAAAAGAGCAAACAGTGATGGTAAGTATGTAGCGGCTGAACATCATTGGCTTCAGCACTATAATTTAAACAATCTGAAGTTCATTAACTACAGTCGTTCTACTAGAGGAACCCATCAGTGCTCTGGTATTTTAACAGCAAATGACCTGCATTTACACATTCATACACGCTCCCGCAGACACGCAAAACACATTAGCGCAAATGAAAGCGAAAGCTAGTGCCATCAGGAACAATGTTCCAGTGTGGCGAGAAGGAGGGGGTGAGCAGTGGAGATGGGAGACGGGCTAAGTTGGATTTCCCCGGCTGAGACTTTGTGGAAGTGAGACATCCGCCGGAGGAAGCAGCTGGACACAAAGAACAGAGGGAGACCTGGGAAATGAGCTACTGACTGAGTGCCCGGACTACTGATGTTTGGACAGCTCTGAGTTCTGCGGTTGGTGTCGACTGAATCATTCAGTATGTAGCTCATATTCGGACCAATACTCTGCCCTTTTCCCTTTGGCAGTGGAATGAGAATCCTATTGGCTCATCTAAGTAACAGAAAGCCGCTCTTTTTGTCCTCCATCTGAAAGCCACCCTTCTATTGGCAGATCCTTCATTGGCTACTCCTACAGAGAACAAGAAGCCATTGGCACCCATTTCTACACAGCAGAGGCAGCTTTCTATTGGCTCAACCTTCAACATCACGATTCTCATTGGCTAAAGAGCAGAGAAAACATTTCAGGCACAACAGTTGGTGTGGTAAGTAGAAGTCAGACAAACTGAGTCAAGTCTGCAGGAAACGATAACCCACGATTTCTGCAAACACGAGAAAGCAGAGCGACGACATAATCTCAGAGCGGTCTCTACTTGAAACTACCAAAACCCACCTTACTTTTTATGTACAAAATTGGACATAACAGAAGCAAAACATTTACAAATGTACAAAAGAACACTACTTGCTATGTCTTCCAGTTTCATGGAGCATAGAATGTGGAATCACTCTGGAATAAAGAACAGGACCGATGCCACAGAAGCTACTGATCTTGTACAGTCCACCATCACGGAACCACATCATGAGTTAAACTACTCAAAGAAGCATTTCAAAAGTGTTTTAAACAAGCTACGTCTGTGCCATACAAATAAGTATTCTTTCCAAATATTTTTCTTAAAACACATGGGAGAAGTGGAAGAAACTGTCTACTGTGATCCCTAAAAGAAACACTGTCTAAAAGTTTGATGCCTCAAGCTTGAATTACTGCTTGAGTGGATCATTTTGCGCTCCCAAATTACACTTCCTGGTTGAAAGGAAAAACACAACACAAGCCAATAATATAATACTGCTATGTAACCAATATTTCACTGAGTGTTTAAAGTAAACCGTGAATTGTGATTGATGAATTGCCTCTTCGTGTCTCAACACCTTTCCTGACAGTGAACTGAAATGCACCTTAATTTGGTCTATTTAAACATAAAACAGTTTCAGCTGCCAACTGACAAAATACTATCCTGCACAAAACATGCAATAAGTAGCTTGTTTTTGGCTTGTGCAGCAACATGATCATGCAGTCAATGTTACAATGCTGTTATTGCTGCTTATACATATAGTTTCCCAAATAGTGTAGCCTTTTATGTGTTTGATATTTGAATTTATGAGCTGCCTGCGACCTGCGAAATAGTTGATAGGAAAATAACTGGTTAATGCTCATGCCAGACACTTTTGCTACTGACAGTCATGTCAAACAGAGATGTTTTGGGAAAGTCTAATTTCTATTGTTTTCGCTGTGATGATGACTTGAATCAGCCTGATTGACTTCTGTCACTTGTAAAGACTCGACAGTTAGCAAAAGAAGCATTTTTGTGTTTATATATATATCCCATATAATGAAGCAAAGGAATTTGATAGAAAATAAGTTCAGTCCTCTTGCAGACTCACGTTGGAGATATAGTACCATGGAATGATACCAGCATTGATTATTAGCTTTCTCAAAAATTCAAAATATCCCACAATTCCAAAGAATACATGAAATGTTAATAGGAATGCACTCCATCACTGTCCTTTCTGGCAGGGGGGCTTATATACACAATCTGGGAGAAAGTTGAATGGAAAGAATATGACTGCTCTTGGATCCAAAAAGAGATTTATGATCAGTGCTTCCCACCAAAGTCCTCATGTATGTCAGACAGCTACAATGACGCTTAGCCAGGGCAAAGAGAGATGAATGGCATCTGCCAGAATGCCAGGTTTTTGCTGAGAATTGGAGCTTCACACCAGAGGGTGAAGTGGACTTGTCCCTTCCAAGAAGACATCGTTGCTGGAGAGCAGGGGTTGAGTGGTGGTGCTGTGACTGCCGACTGAGTTTAGCCGCTGGATGTGAGAACTGGACTCCTCACGGGACCCCGGTGCCACGGGCAACCTAGAACTGAAGTTTAAGTAAATCTGAAGAGGAGAAAGGTAAAAATCTTGTTTAAAACATGCATTCTTAGAAAAATATTTTGTATTCACCGTTGGTTTAAAATTGTTTTGACGATATATATTATACCATATTATACCATTTCTTTTTTTCAAATTCAATTATACAAAAAGGAAAAGAAAAAAAAAACTGAAATTACTTTAAAAATGAAAAAAAAAATTATATATTTTTCAAGGTAATTAATTATTTAATTCATAATATCTGTTTTTAGGGAGTCACATCACATGACATTTTACAACCTCTATGATATAATTTTTTGTTTATAATGTTTTTTTTTAAACAAATCTTAATGCAATTAATAAAGAATGACCCTTCCATGTTTACATTGTTTTGAGAGCTAATGAAAATAAAGGAAGACATACATGTTTGGTGCTGTCTGAGATTTGCTGTTCAATCTTCTCCACTATCTTGCTAAATGAAGGTCTTTTAAAGGGGTCGGCATCCCAGCATGAGTGCATGATCTCGTACCTGAAACACAAAAACACAGCAGCACTGGTGTTATTGGGAACAGTGTTGTAGGGTGTGTACATGGTAAATTATGCCATTATCTTGACAAGGGTTTTTTTTTTTTTTCCAGAAAGAAATGTAACTAATTACAGCTCAGACTTACATTTCAGTCGGGGCAAACTCCGGTGACTCCATTCGGAATCCTTCCTTGATCATCTTATAGAATTTAGAGTCCACAGGCATACCCGGGTAAGGACTACTCCCTACAGAAGCAGAGTGTCAGTATTTAGATTCAAAACAGTATATCATACCAAGTCAATATAATTATGAGATAGGTTTAACTCACCGAGAGAGAAGATCTCCCATAGCAGGATACCATAAGACCAGACATCACTCTCAAAGGTGTACACGCACTCAAAGATGCTCTCGGGGGACATCCACTTCACCGGGAGACGAGCCTGCACAGAGAAGGGCCACATTACAAACATTTCTTCCTTAACAACACAGGCAGAGCATGAAAGCACATAGTACAAACCACATTTCTTGAAGGATTCAGTTTGTGACTTGCATAGAAATCATTTGCCAACAAAACATGCATTTGGCAACCTCAGTCATACAGTTTTGTATCAATTTTGACATTATCTTACTTGTCCTGTAAATTTTAAATATAAATATACAAAAAGAATACTGACTTAAAGACTATAGACCAAGTTTGTCATGACTGTTTGTTGCTTTGGGCTTCTTTTAGATCATTAAAACAGAATTCAAATGAAGTATATGTAGTAGAAGCCAGAAATAGCATTCTGCTTAATGCAAAATTTTGTTTATTTATTTTTTTGTTGACATTTTGGCCTTTATTGAGATAGGATAATATAAAACTCACAGGAAGTGAAGTGGGAGAGCGATAGGGAGGCGTGATCAGGAAAGGTCAAACTCAGGTCGCAACCACGCTACATGGAGCGCTGCCCACAAGGCTATCGGCTCTGCTTTATGCAAATTCTTGAAAATAAATCAACTGTCTTAAAACGGCAAAAATCGTCTCATTCATGACTTGCTTTGCATCAACCTCTTGCCAATGTATGACATTTGGGTAATTCATATCTGGTACATGTCTCAACACGGATAAAAGCTCTTTTTGCATTAAGGTGAGATTTCCTTGCAGAAAGCTGTTGGAATAAACCACATCCAACACACACAGTATGCATTAAAGAAGCATGCTTGCTTGTCTATTTACTTGTAAAACTTGGTGGGAAAATCTACAAATAAAATAAATGTTAAAGTTGTTTGTCACATGTAATGACAGTTAATACTTACATTGCCCTTAACAACATAGTTTGAGTCAGTAGTGATGTCCCGGGCTAGTCCAAAATCACAGATCTTGGCCACTCGGCCTTGGGTGAGGAGAATGTTTCTGGCTGCCAGGTCTCTGTGAATACACTGCACATGCAGAAATACAGGTCAACATACACACTAATATATTATGTATTAAAGCAAACGCTGTAGGAATGGACTACTTGTTTTTAGCGTGATGTGAGCTAAAGAAGCTCAGACTGTATTGCTCATTTAAAAAATGTAATTGAAACGTAATGTTGACAGCTTTTGAGATTTTGGCCTTTCGCAGTTCAAGCAGATAGAAGCTGTACTTGTATGCATGTAACCTGCATAGGAATGAGTGGCCTAGAGGCATTACTGAAATGACCACAGAGGGGAGTGAAAAGTTGTGCTTAAAATTGCTCTTATGTGTCAGGACTGTCAAAACTGTCAGGTATTTACAATAACCGTGCCAATATTCAAAACCTCATTAGCAAAGAAGTGTTCTAAGTTAGCATAGAGGTGCTGAAATTAATTCCCTGACAGAAAACTCGCCGGCTCAACAGTGTGACTAATCTAGTGTCCTTCCCCTAAACTGAATACTGGACCTGCTGACCATGTGGGGAAATGTGATATTTCTCAGCATGATCCTCAATGAATGAGTGTATGCGTTTGTGTGACCTTGTGTAACCCGATCCTTGACTCGACAGAGGTAATGGAATGTTAGTCTGTGGCATTGTTGAGGAAGAGTGAGAAGATCTGCAGTATAGGGTTACCGCAAACACTCGGAATATAAAACTCAGTATCTGTCAGAGAGACAGAACGCAAACAAATGAGAAAAACACTTGCGTTTTTGGATGCCAAGAAATCCATCCCTTTGGCTACTTGGTAGGAGAAGCTAAGAAGATCCTCAGTATCCAGAGTCATGCCATCTTCATGCAGAATCTCACTAACGGCATCCGAATCATTGTATGAATCACCTAAAGGGATGACAAATTCATTTAAGAAGACGATAAAGACAAAATGAGACAAAAAGCCAACAGACAAGAAGAGACAACAAAAGAAAAGGGAAAGAATAAATGAGACAAGAAGACAACAGACAAGATGAGACAGAAGAGACCAGATGAGAAAAGAGAAGGCATGAGAAGAGATGAGAAAAGATGGGATGTGGACAGGAAAGACAAGATTAGACAAATAGAGATGAGGTGAGACAGAAGAGACAAGAAGAGAAGGCATGACAAGAGATGAGAACAGGAAAGACAAGGGCAGACAAGACTAGAAAAGAAGACAAAATGAGAAGAGTTGAGCCGAGATAACAGAACAGATGAGAAGAGACGAGAAGAAGACAACAGACAAGAAGGGGACAAGAAGAGACAAGAAAATATGAGACAAAAAGAGATACGACAAAGCCGGAAAAAAACAGACAAGATGAGAAGATGAAGATAAGACACGAGAAGAGATGAGACAAGAACAGGAAAGACAAAATGAGACAAAAAGAAACGAGATGAGACAGAAAAGACAAGTTGAGAAGATAAGAAAAAATGAGACAAGGTGAGATGAGGAGATAAGACAAGAACAGGAAAAAATAAGGGCAGACGAGAAGAGAAGAGAAGAGAAGAGAAGA